CCCCCCCCCCCCACATCAGAAACAACAGGAGACTGATTTCCCTCCTCATTACCCACATCAGACACAGAAACATCAGGAGACTGAAACACAATCATAGGTTCAATCACAGGATGAGTCCCAACACCCATCTTCCTCGGGACCAGAGGATGGAGACAAACACGCCACTGCCGAGTGCTCTCCAGAGAGCACTTGGCAGAGCCATGTCTCTACCTCAGTCCTCCTCTCAGCCTAGGATGCTGTGGGCCACTGTGTCAGCATGCTGAAGGGAAGGCCGAAGTAGACAGGGGCTAGGTCAAAGAATCTAAAGGGCCACATCCAGCCCACGGGCCTGGGTTTCCCTATGACTGTTTTATAGCCATGCCATTCAAAGTGGTCAGAATCCCTGGATCCTTGGTGGTCTCCAGGCCATTAATTGCTGGTCCTTAGCAGCTTTCCAGAGAAGAAAGAAATAGTTGTAAATTAATTTGCACAAATATGGGGCTGGCCCCTGGCACACTGGGAGAAAAAAACCATGCATCTCAAATGTCAAATAGCCTGAGAAATGTGGCTGTAGCAACTCCAAGTAGCCAGCTTGGCCAGCTTAGTATAATGCCAAGTATTTAAACTTTGTTTATGTTTTTAAATACATTACAATATTCAAATCTAACCAGATATGAATATAATCTTTCAAACACCAGCAGCACTTGGAATTAGAATTTAATGCAGCTATATGTTAAGCAATTATCTCAAAACATGAATGGCAACCCCACCCTACCCATCCCACTGCTACCACACAACAATTTCACCCTATTTCATCCACTAATATAAATATAAAACAGTGGTTAATGGAGTATGTAACATGCTAATTAAATTTTCAAATAACTATTCAATAGGAAAAACTTGTCCTGGGAGATAAACAACCCGATGTTGTAATTATCCATGCTTATATTTTCAGTAAAATTGTGCTTTGACTGAAAACTTATTTAAGTGGCTGTTACTAGCCATCCCTTATTTTTATGTTTGCGAACTGTAGTCCAGAAACTCTTGAATTTGTACAGATCACTGAAGAAATTGCTTCTAAACTGGTCTGTCTAAGTGGGATTAAAATATTGGCATGGAACATCCCATAAACCTTTTCACGCAGCACAACTGTAGTGCTGTATCCCTCTTTGACTGCTTTCCAAGCTCCCCATGTAATTCTGGGGTTTGTAGTTTGGTGAGACATTCAGACTTCCTGACTGAGAATTCTAACCTAAATCGCACATCCCATGAAAACATGGATGTCTAGAGGCTACAAAAATGGTCTTGGGAACTGCATGAGGCTTGCAGACTCATTTCCCCTACTCATAAAGTTGCAGAGAATTGAGTGTATTATACAAAAATATATTTGAACATTTTCCTAATTTTCATGAAGGCATCTATTCTGAAAATTCATAGACCTCAGCTAGATAATTTGCTGATACCAGCACAATGTTTTTGGCAACATTCTAAGGAAAATGTGTCGTCAACAAGAAAGATGGTTGGACAGAGTTAGCTGAGCTATGATTATGAGTAAGTTGACTTTGTATAGGATGGAACAAATCAAACCAATATTAATGTATTGTCGAAAGCTTTCATGGCCAGAATTACTAGGTTGTTGTAGGTTTTTTGGGGCTATATGGCCATGTTCTAGAGGCAGTCTCTCCTGACGTTTATATTTTACAATATTTTACAGCTGGACCAATATTAATCTTTTATTGCACTCTGGAATGCCACTGGACCTCAGGAGATGTAACCATTAATAATGTAATATTTCTGTGAGTCAGGTTTATTCTATCATTTTTTCTTTGACAATACTTTAAAATAATATTTAAATAAAATATTGTACATAATGAACTTATTTTTATTTCTTAGAAAACATGTTTCAGTCATCGGAAATACAAGATTTCAGATAGGAAAACAAAACAGGAATTGAAGAATTTCTACCTTTCCAGTAACTAGATATCTATGCCACTGGTATGATTGGCAATGCATATCTATGGACTCTGTTTCCTTAGATTCAACTATCCATGACTTGATAATATATTTCTAAAAAAATCCAAAAAGCAAATTTTCATTTTGTCATTTTATATAAGGGACAATATTTTATTACACTATTGCATATAAGGTAATATGAGCACCCACAGATTTTGGTATCCACAGGGAATCCTGGAACCAAACCCCAATAGGTACCAAGGGGCCACCGTATATTCACAATTGGATTTCCCACCTTTGCAATTCAAAAGTATAAATGAAGATCCATCCTTTAAAAAAAAATCTCACCAATAGTCCAAACGGGGACCAATATCAGTGCATCATCTGCAGTTATAATCTACATAATGCTTTCAATCAAGCCCAGTGTCACTTAAATTTGGAGAAGAGCATTTATTTTAAATGTTGAGGATTCACAGACCGAAGATTGGACAATACACCAGTAAAGGTAACAGTAGGATGAGCTTCTCTGATACAGAAGTAAGTGGTCTCAGGAGAAGCGAGTTGGTAGGACACTGGTTGGTAGTTGTAGACACATCTACATTGATAACTTGAGTTTGTGTGCAAAGAAATCAGCCCTGAGATGGCTAAATACCACACAGGTCTGATCCATGTTAGCTCAGGCCAAAACTTCTTTTTGTGGAAATGGCCACAGATATCACAACAGCCATCCAGGAGAGCCAAATATGTGTGATAGCTCTTCCCTCCTGTGCTCTCCCTCCATATTATGGTTGCCCCAGGAAGAGATTTACTCTTTCCCCTCTCAGCCTTTTTAGTGAGGTGCAAGGTTTGCCAAAAGGCTAATGGATTTCCTCCTGTTAGGAAAGTGGTTGTATTGTAGCTGGGGACAACCATGACACAAGAGAAGGGAGGTCCCTCTTAGGGTGCCTGACTTACAGTGCTGAACTGAGTCTTCTCCCTGCTTCTCTCTGCTGCCAGAATCGAGTCCCACAGATCCCATCACGTGATACTGGGCAACTTCTAGCCAGACTCTGGGGGGCTGTGTTTCGGCAGCAAAGAGAAACGGAGCCCAGAGTGCCCCTGAAGGAGATGGGTAACACAAAGAATATGGAGGTAGCTGAGAATGATGGATCTGAATAGAAAAACAACATGGAAAGACAGAAGGCATACCTCAAGGGAAGGGAACAGAGCTTGACTGTTCCCTCCACTGTCCTACACTTTCCCACACTATCCCCTGCTCATCCGATGAGGTCCTTTGTCATAAATCTGTAGCAAGCTTCCAGAGCTCCTTGTGGTGCAATGGGTTAAATGCTTGTGCCAGCAGGACTAAAAACCGACAGGTCAGCAGTTCAAATCTGGGGAGAGCATGGGTCAGCTCCAGCTCCCTATGCAGGGACATAAGAGAAGCCTCTCACAAGGATGGTAAAACATCAAAATATCCAGGCATCCCCTGGGCAATGTCCTTGCAGACGGCCAATTCTCTCACACCAAAAGCAACTTGCAGTTTCTCAAGTTGTCCCTGACACACACAAAAAAGCAAGCTTCTAATTTGTTAAAAAAATGTATTAGTATTTTGGGCAACAACACCAACACTGAGAGCCAATGCAGCAGTGATAATGTTGTTGTTCATTCGTTCAGTCGTCTCCGACTCTTCATGACCTCATGGACCAGCCTACGCCAGAGCTCCCTGTCGGCCGTTACCACCCCCAGCTCCCTCAAGGTCAGTCCAGTCACTTCAAGGATGCCATCCATCCATCTTGCCCTTGGTCAACCCCTCTTCCTTTTGCCTTCCACTTTCCCCAGCATAATTGTCTTCTCTAGGCTTTCCTGTCTCCTCATGATGTGGCCAAAGTACTTCAACTTTGTCTCTAGTATCTTTCCCTCCAGTGAGCAGTCAGGCTTTATTTCCTGGAGGATGGACTGGTTGGATCTTCTCGCAGTCCAAGGCACTCTCAGCACTTTCCTCCAACACCACAGCTCAAAAGCATCGATCTTCCTTCGCTCAGCCTTCCCTAAGGTCCAGCTCTCACATCCGTAGGTTACTACAGGGAATACCATGGCTTTGACTAGGCGGATCTTTGTTGCCAGTCTGATGTCTCTACTCTTCACTATTTTATCGAGATTGGACATTGCTCTCCTCCCAAGAAGTGATATTGCTTCAATATTCCTCCTGCTCCCCAAGTGCCTGTCAGCATCATGTCAGCATGAACATTTTGCTATTTTGGACTATAAATGCCAGCATCCCCAAGCTGGCATTGTTTTCATGTGTTATTCTGGTACATACTGTATATTCCTGCCAGGAGACTTGTATGGCTACATACAAAAGGCTAGGCACTGAAAAGCCAGTGGACCTCTATGATTTCATCTTCTGACCTTTCAGTGAGTCATGGGGTGGCACCCTAAAGGCTACTCAAAAATGCAGAGTGGTTTTGGGCTTTAAACAAGAGTGTCACATATGAAACACCAAATATGACATATATCCAGTCAGGCAAAACTGGGACAAAGCAAAATGAGAAACTAATGTAAGACATATGGCTTTATTTTCCCAGTGAATCATGTTCCATTTAAGCCATAATGATTTTTCTAAAAGCCCATTTAACTTCAATTTATTTCTCTGTAACTGAACAGATGGGAGAAATCCATAGAGCTGCACTTACCCCCATAAATAATATAGTCAGTCATGTTTTTGGATGTGCAGACCTCCCATACTACCTCAAAAGGAAAAAAAATAGGAGAGAAATTTAGGTAAAGGTAAAGGTTTTCCCTTGGCATGAAGTCCAGTTGTGTCCGACTCTTGGGTGTGGTGCTCAACTCTATTTTTAAGCCGAAGAGCCGGCGATGTCCATAGACACCTCCAAGGTCATGTGGTTGGCATGACTTCATGGAGCACTGTTACCTTCCCGCCGGAGCAGTACCTATTGATCTACTCACATTTGCATGTTTTCGAACTGCTAGAAGCTGGGGCTGACAGCGGAAGCTTATACCACTCCCCAGATTTGAACCTGCGACCTTTCAGTCAACAAGCTCAGTAGCTCAGCGCTTTAACCCACCGCGCCACTGGGAGCTCCTGAGAAATTTAAGACATTTTTTAATTTGGAATGGACCACATTGAACTCTGTGGGACTTAGACTGGATCTACACTGCTCTATATCCCAGGATCGGATCCCAGATTATCTGCTTTGAATTGGATTATATGAGTCTCCACTGCCAGATAATTTGGGATAAATAGATAATCTGGGATCAGATCCTGATATATAAGCATCATAGAAGGGACCTTAGTAAACATGCACTACATTCAGTTGCGTGGAATTTATGCCCCTTCTACACTGCTATATAATACAGATTATCAAAGTAGATAATCCACAAGAAATAGTTTTCTAAGATCTACAGAGACACTCGCTGGAACACCTCAGCAAGTGAGAGTCCAAAAGTGGC